GACGTGCCTGCTTGCCAACAAATAAAAATAGACTAAATTCGATATGGAATATAATAGCCGCATTTGTTATTTTGAAAACGCGATACTTGCCGAGTCTCTACGATCACGTACGGCGGCGCAACAGGAAAAGTTTGTAAATACAATTTAAAAGATTTTTTAAGCAAAATGCACAATCAGATGCGATAGTTTTTTTCTCGATGTTTGTGTTTACGTTTATTTATTATTCATTACATACTTCAATTGTGTATACATATGTGGAAGTAATTTGTAACGTATTTTTTACAATGTTATTGTTTTTTAGCATTGGAAAAAATTTAATGTCTTGTTTTTGACCGAAATTTCGGCTGTCTCATTTTTGCACCACTTGACCCTATATTAAACTATTTTCTCATTTTAATTTATCTGAAAGTAAAGAACTATCAAAACGAGTTCACTTGCTACTATTTTTCGTTTTTTGCCTGTAGCTTCGCCGCCCCTGACAAGTATTTCAAAAACTACAAAGATTTTTCGTCGTTGACATAGTTGTAACCTTGTGTGAAAATTTCATCAAAAACCGAACAGTGCTTTTCGGTTCATAGACAGGCCAATGATTGGCAGATAGTCAGATCGACAGAGAGACCTAGGGAAATGGCCGATATGATTTTCCGGTATGTACGTGTCACGTATGGTGCATCATTTGCCAAATTGAAATGGGGGATAGAGGAGGTCTTTTTCTATCACCTCAGGTACCTCAAACAGTTTTTAGCCCAATTATGTAGATTTTTTTAATTTTTTTTAGTAAAAACTCCAAAATCTAATACACAAAGTGAAATACAAAAAATTAAAAGTATGTCCACCTAATGATTAATTTATCTTAATGGGTGATGTTGTACCAATCTTACAAAATCAACATTACTTGCAGCAGCATGTAGTTTTTTATTTATAAACTCACAAAGAGTTACAAAGAAGAACAAAAAATGTAAGTCTCAATTTTGAATTTCTGTAAAAAAAACTAAAAGCGTTCACGTTCTTTGAATTTTTTTGAAAACTACTCTAGTTTATCGCGATTCTATCGGTATGCCACAAGTCACAAATAAGTTTAACTAACTTATTGAATTTGCAAATTTTGTGTACAGGGGTAGGAAAATAAAAAAAAGGTGTAAAATCAAATTTCAATCATTTATTATTTTTTCTGTTTCACGAATCTTGTTCGAATTGTTGTCCTCTATTGCGTATGCACGCACGACACCTTTGTCTTATCTCGATGGTTGTCGTACGTAGGCGAATTTCTTGCCGAATCTTACCAAACGCCTCTTCTATTCTTCGGATCAACTCCTCCCTTGTTCGAACTTCTGTCGAGTAGACGAGTGCTTTTGCACGTCCCCAGATGTAAAAATCCAATGGAGTTAGGTCTGGGGAGCGTGCAGGCCATGGAATAGGACCATCTCGTCTAATCCACGCATTCGGAAAAACATCATTTAGATGTTCCCGCACAATTAGCCTCCAGGAAAGCCATCATGTTGAAACACAATTCATCTGTCGCCATTGAAAATTGGGAGCTCATTCACCAATTCGGGCAACTTATTTTGCAGAAAATGTAGATAATTATCTCCGTTAAGACGATCTGGCAAATAATGTGGCCCAATCACATGATTGCCAATTACTCCTGCCCAAACATTAACACTGAATCGTTTCTGAAAAGAGCTTGGCCTCTTCACTCTTGGGTTTTGATCTTTTGAAGCCCAATCGTGCGGATTGTGCAAATTTAGTATCCCTTCCTTGGTGAATTTGGACTCATCCGTCCACAGAATACTTGTCAAAAAGTCCGGATCGTCCTCGTCTGTGTGTAGCAAGAAACGACAAAACCGGACTCGGTTGTCGAAGTCATTGTCTTCAAGACCTGAAATCAAAAATAATACGGGTAACATTAGTTTGCCGCCGCTACATGCTATTAAAAGCGATAAGAAGTTTCCATTGCAGACAGTCGTAAGTGTGATAAAAAAATGACGTTCCTTGTACAGGAGTGAAGTGGAAGGCATGATTATTATTCTGGCGAAGTACTTTCCGCACTTTCCAAATTGGAATTCACAGTGATGAAGCTTCATTTCGGATGCTTTGAGTAGGATATTCCTCGACAAGTGCCAAAAATCCTACCGTCGATGTCAACATTGTGTCGCACTACGACACCTCTTGGTACATTATTGCTCACAGTACCGGTTTCTCGTAAGTGTCGATAAGTGTTTTGAATGTGTGAACACTCCTGTTAGGATAGCGCTCTTCGTAGATTCTTGGCGCTGCTCGTGCAACACAGTCGGCTTGTCCGTACACCAGCAACATGTCTGCATACTCTTCATTTGTAAATTCTGTCATCATCAAAACAGAACTCAACGAAAACTGACAAAACAACAACAGTCACAGGTCGCGGCACTACGTAAAAGTAACAAAAGAGTTAGGCAGCCAGCAGGGACGAACCTCGATGGAAAAATGGACCCATGTCGTCCCTGTCGGTTAGCCGCTCAACTATACTATAACTATCTAAAACTGTAATGACTCATCGATGTTCACGTGAACATCACTTAACTACCAGTAGTCGGCTGTTCATAGGCGGGGTATGAATGTTTAACATGGGTGAACTAGATTTGTCACATGCTTAAAAAAGAGTGGTTTGAAACATATTGTAAGTCAAAAATTTGGAAATTACCTTTATTCATCGTCGCTTCCACTTACATCTGACAGTAATAAACTGTCGCTATCGCTTGCCTCGTTGAAATTGACTATAACTGGCTCTACGATGGTGTCGATGTGGTGGTCAAGCTGCCACATTTTTGTTTCTTCCTTCACAACATGACGGATAGCATTCTGCCAAGCTTCGGGCGTTACTAACTGTATGGAAGTCTCAAAGAAAAACCTTAACGTGTGGTAATTTGAAGGTTGTGTTATGGCGCGCAATATAACCCTTTACTTGAGCCCAGATGAGCTCTATTGGGTTCAGTTCACAGTGGTAGGGCGGTAACCGCAGCACAGTGACACCACATTGACGGGCAATCTCATCAGTCACGTAACTAATGTTCGCAGGTTTGTGCTGTTTAATTTTTTCATACAATTCCGTTTTCACACATGAATCGTCAAACGGGATTCATTTTTCGCGCAACCATTGCTGCATGTCACTTTTTCGAGATCCCATAGTCGGTACACGTTCGGCTCGATGACTATGGTAGGAAGCATTATCCATGACGATCACAGAGTTGGGCTCAACTCGCTGAAGCACCCCTTTTCGTCATGGTAATCACCTCCTTTCTTAGAGACGAAAATCAAGTCACACTTTTCTAAAAAGCCACTATCGCTACCAATATGAGTTACGATCAATCTTTGACCTTTCCCTGACGGTCCACGAAGACCTGTTGACAAACCTTGAATGCTTGCTTGTCGGTTACTCACTACGTTTTTGTCTATCCAGGTTTTTTTAACTGAATGACCTGCATTTACCCATGTCTCGTCCAAATAATAGATTTTTCTGCTTTGTAGCCTATATTCAATCATTTCGCGTAGGTATTTTCGACGCCAGGCGACTATTTCAGGTCTCTCTATCAATACTGACTTCCGATTACGCGTTTAGTAACGAAAATTAATTTCGTGCAGGGATTTCCTCATTACCTCGGCGCTCATTTGGGGTATAATTTCATTTTCCTTGATCGCTGCATGTACAGCCTTGAGGGTTGGTATCTCATTCCTAAAGAAGAATGAATGTACGGTTCGCCTTAACGCCATTTTGCTATCGTCATCCAATTTAACGGCCTTTCGTCCCTTCAAATTAAACTTTGGATCAGTAGTAGCTCCAGTTTTCTTCTTTTCATGCACCACCCTGCGAATGGTCCACTCTGGAACGCCTGTCATACTTTCACAACGCGCGAGTGCATCTCCCTGCGACATAGTTCTGTTCAGATAATTGAACACGTTGAGCACGATTTCTTTCGCGTCCCTCTTCAGTGCTTTACGAAGCCGTCTACTTGTTCCCTGGCTTTCAGTACTTCCACTCGTGCCATTTGTATTCTCCATGGTTAAGTATAACCAAAACAGTAACCACAGAAACCACAACAATAACAATCACACAGCAATTCTTATAAAAACACACAATATGCGATCGCTCAACGAAACACGTTCCAATGCGTTGCCGACGCCTATGAGTCTGCCGGTCGAGGCGCGTCTTTGATTTCATTGGTTCTACCGGCGGAGAACAATCAGCCATTATTTCCATCTCTGTCTGTGCTGTTGACCACCGCAAAGCACAGAAACGACATTATGTCGTACGCTCTACGGCTGTACTGGAAGGAAGCCGGGATCGAGCTCTGATCACGTGTTGATCACGCGTATGAGTCATTACAGTTTTAAATAGTTGTAGTATAGAGTAGTTTTTAAAAGAATTCTAAGAACGTGAACGCTTTTAGGTTTTTTTACAGAAATTCAAAATTGAGACTTTCATTTTTTTGTTCTTCTTTGTAACCCTTTGTGCGTTTATAAATAAAAAACTACATGCTGCTGGCAAGTAATGTTGATTTTGTAAGATTGGTACATCACCCATTAAGATAAATTAATCATTAGGTGGACATACTCGTTATTTTTTTTATTACACTTTGTGTATCACATTTTGGAGTTTCTACTAAAAAAAAAAATTAAAAAATCTACATAATTAATTTCGTTGGGCTATAAACTGTTTGAGCGACCTGGGGTGTTAGAAAAAGACCCTCTCTGTCCGGTATTTCAATTTGGCAAACGATGCACCAAACACCCTGTATAAAAAAAGTAATATCAAATTTTTTAATTTTTCCAAAATTGACCTTGTCTTAGCCATAACATCACATTCCATTTTACAAATTAACAAATCAATTTTAGGCCTTGAAATGCGTACACGATGGAATGAGGTGGTGAATATTTGTGAAGATTGAAGTACACAAATTTGGTCCGCATTTCTGAACAGATTGACATTGATAGCATCAGAAAACCTATTCCTACTCTTGTTACAGGCCTTCCGTTTCCTCACGCCCTGTTCGGAACGTCCAGCTCTGAAATATCACTGAATGCTCTGAAACATTGTCGCCGAAGAAAAGCACGGACAGTATTTAGTGATCTACAACTAACAGGTATCTACATTTTTCTGAAAACACTATATTATAAACACCGCCTTTAGGGTGGAGCGGCCTTACTCGCGCTAACAAATAAGTAAAAGGTTTTGGTTGAATGAAAATAATACAGAGTGTAAACGTTATGGTAGTTATTATTGAAATGGGTAATACGGGGGGTCAAAACAAGTCAAAAAGTTCATATGACCCATTGGTCCAAAAGTCAATAGGTTTTTGTCTAAATGGCATTATAGTTTAGAACTTTTAAGTGCTTTATATCGATCACAATCTTACTAATTTTTATAATCGAATCTAAAACGTTTTTAAACTGGGTAATTAACAAATAAACAGCATTAACCATTCGTGAAGGTCATTTCCTACAACGTTTTAAAATAGATATTTGGGCGGATATTCTTGACGATCAAGTAATTGGCCCTTTCGAGTTACCCCCAAAGTTGTCAGGAGAAGGATACCTTAGCTATCTAGCCAATAACCTACCAGAACTTTTGGAATAGACCTTAGACAACATGTCATTACAACGGAGACAGAATTTGTGGTTTCTTCATGGCGGGGCACCACCACACATTTTTAGAGGCGTCATTCAGTATTTGAATGAACATCATCCAAGTCGCTGGATCGGTCGAAATGCTCCTGATCCCCGAAAATGGCCAGCAAGATCTCCTGACCTCAATCCGATGGATTTCTGGTATTGGGGAGAACTTAAAGGGATGGTTTATGGGGCTGGTCCAATAACAACTGAAGCGCAACTTCGCAAAAAAATTTAATGCGGCGGAAATAATAAATGGACAATTTCGAGGACCTAGAGTAAGAAGAACCTGGGTTCGTCGTAATGAAGCTTGTGTGGAAAGTGGAGGACGACATTTTGAACACCTTTACAAAAAAATACAGTGTGGGTTTTAAAAAGAAAAACAATGTATGTATCAAAATTGTGTTCCCTATTTATAAGTGGATTTTTTTAATACGTTCAATAAACTTTCACACACCAGGTAAAGCGCTGAGACAGTTAGTGGTAAGTCCATTTTTTTTAATTGTTTGCATTTTACCAGCACATTATCAAATAATTAAATAATACCTAAGAGCCAAAAATAACAAACTCCATCTTTATTTACACTGCGTTCCGTCGTAATTTGCGTGTGGCAACTCCCTCTATCACCCATTTAAATAATGGCTTTCATAACGTTTACACCCTGTATAATAATGTACAAATATACGTGCCTGAAATATCTCTTTGAGTCCTCTCGCAATATGTTAAATTATTGATTAATACAAAACCCACGAACGAGTTAATCGTGACCGAAAGAATGCAATGATCACTATCGGCGGGGTCCGGGGTGACAGCTCCCCATACCCCGCGCATGCGGTGGGCGACTCATGCTTGCCTTGAAGCTGCGTCGCGGTAGCTTCAAGCGCTAGTTTAGTTTTTTTCAGAAATTTGGAGTTGCAAATTTTGTGGCGGCCACATTCGTAGCAAGAGAACTTAGTGAAACTCTGGGTATAGAGCCAAAGTTCAAAGAAGTCAGACGGATTAAGAAAAGAAGAATGTTTGAGATCGAGGAAGAAGATGAGTCTTAGTCAGAATCTGCCGAGTAAAAACTTAAACAATATTTGAGATTTTCACATAAGAATATCGAACAAATAATAGTGTGTGCAAATAATATGAATATTTTGTAATAATATGTGCTTATTTATGATTGATTATTCACTACAAAAAAAAAAGATTTCTTATGCGAATTTATATATTTCCTGGCCGATCTAAATTTTATTATAATTTTTATCATGTTTAATTGCTTAAAAAATTAAAGTGGAAAAGTTTAGGTCATCGTCATAGATCTTATTTCTTTCTTATCTCAATTCTTTACACATAGTGAAATATTGTTCACGTACTTACATTAAAAATGAAAATATACTCAACCCTGGCAAATGAAAAAAATTACTTAAATAATTATTTACGTAATTTTGGCGTGTTTTGAAATGAAATAACTTTATCAAAAATGCTAAAAACACTTTATTTTAAAATTTTTCGCAGTAGACCACTTTCTTTAAAAAAGGGCCTTGCAAAAATATTTGGCTCCAGGCCTCGCATCTGCTAAGGATGGCTCTGATTATAAATATGGAGAATCCACCTCAAATTATTATGAAATACATTACATATGATTCGATCTTTCTACATCGGGCACAGATGAATTATTTACGAAATCTAATATTGATGAGAAGGTAATGCACATTACAAGCGTTAACGTGGGAATCTATAATAAACATGCACCTCTTAAAACTGTAAGAGTTAATAAGCCACCATCACCTTGGTTGACCAATGAACTGCGCACTGTTCTTGATGAAAAGAATACTGCACAAGCTTTATATAAAACTAATAAGACCGTGGACGCCTATAATAACTTCAAATCGCTTAGAAACTGTGCTCTTAACATGATCAGGAGGGGCAAAAAGACATATATTGAAAATTTGGCAAATGAAAATGATTCAAAAAAATTGTGAAAGTCTCTCAAACAACTTGATATAAATTTTTGTAGTAAACCAACCCTTCCGGCAAGTTTTAATGACCCTACCAAAATTAATGATTATTTTATGTCTGTTTATAGTTATAAACCTGTTGATTCACTAGTTTGCGAAAACTATTTCAAAAATAAATTAAGCTCTGAATATATAATAGCTAGCCAAAAATCTGATGCGAAGGGAATTGATGGTCTATCCCTGTCAATGATCCAGCTTTGCCTGCCAGTTATTCTCCATCACATCGTCCACATCTTTAACGACTGTTTGGAAAAAGGCTACTTTCCAAACACATGGAAACAAGCTCTAATTATTCCAATTCCTAAAAAAATGAAACCCACTGAGTATAATGATCTCAGGCCTATCAGTTTATTACCAATTTTTTCCAAAATTTTAGAAAAAATTATAAAGTTCCAATTGACCGCTTACCTAGAAAAATTCTTTATACTTCCCGACACTCAATCCGGCTTTAGAAAAAATTATAGTACAACATCTGCCCTACTTAATCTGCAAGACAATATTTTAAGTGCCTTAGATAAGAAAATGGCACTAGCCTTAATCTCTATAGACTATTCGAAAGCCTTTGACAGCATCAATCATAAATTATTACTTGCTGAATTAAATTACATAGGTCTTGACAGTGTATCCCTTTCATTTTTCGACAGTTACCTTCATCAAAGAACTCAGTGTGTTTTTCTCAATCAAGAAATGTCTCAAGTGACAATAATTCCCTCAGGCGTACCTCAGGGCTCTGTATTGGGGCCGCTTCTGTTCCTCATATATACGTTCGACTTAAGCAAAAGTATTGATAATTCTCATGTCCAGTCATTTGCAGACGATACGCAATTGCTCCATTATTTTAACCCAGATAATGTCAATAATACTACTCAAATTTTACAAAACGATGTTAATAAATTAATTAAATACTCTTTAGATCACAATCTACTTATTAATCCACAAAAATCTAAAATGTTATTATTTTGCGCACAAAGAAAAACATACAATGTAACACAGCTCTTGAACATTCAGATAAATAGCCAAATTTTGCAATTTTCTGATTCTGCAAAAATTCTTGGTGTTGTTTTTGATACAAAATTAAGGTTTATTGAACATGTTAAAAGTCTATCTCAGAAAACCTACCTACGGCTGCGCACTCTTATAGCAAACAGGTATTTACTAAATTTTAAGTTGCGTAAAAAACTATGTGAAGTATTGGTCATATCTATACTAAATTATTGTAATATCGTATACTATACTTGCTTAGACAATTTCACTAAAAACGTTATTCAAGTTATTCAAAACAATTGCATACGATTCATTTTTGGCTTACGTAAATTTGATCATGTATCAGCGAAATATCCCGTTCTAAACTGGTTAAAAATTAATGACATGGTCCAAGTATCACTATTCAGTTTTTTTCACAAATTCTAAACCTTATTACTTGAAGGAAAAAATTTCATTTAATAATGATGTTCACTGTAGAACTCGCAGAGAAAATAATATTAGAATACCCCTGCATACGTCTACACTTTTAAAACGCAGTTTTTCTTACAATGTTGCTATTATTTATAATGACCTTCCTAAAGTATATAAAGAATTTTCATTACCTGTCTTTCGACAAAAAGTTAAAACATTATTACTCAACCCTCCAAACATATAATTTACGTAATCATTCATTTCTTTTTTATTCCATCTTTAATTCAGATTAATAATTTTTTGGTGCATTTGGGTTTGGAAAGTATGCCTTTTTCTCTTTTTTTAAATTTTACTTTCGATGTAATGAACCAAATCTGTTTGTGGATAGTGTATTCTTTTGAACATCTGCTAGAGACTATATGGTTAAGTGTAAGAGTAGCAGCATGCTAAACTTCGCCATATAAGTCTGACATTTGGCTATACTACAATGTAATTGTGGATAAATAAAGACGTCTATTATTATTATTATTATTATATACATTTTTGTTTCTTCCAAATCTAACCACAGTCTTATAAAGGCGAAGTTGACTGTACGAGGAAACGTTTAATGAATCTAGGAACATATTATTTTGCCGAAAATGGATACATTCACAGACTTGTTTGATAAACAGCTGTTAGATTCTGGGACCGATTTTTCTAGCCGCGCATGTATCAGGTAACCAAATAAGTTCGTGCGGTTTTTAGTACAAAAACATACATTTTTATTGAGAAACAATAAGACACTATTTATTCGTCGGAGTAATTACCATCACATTCAATGACCTTTTGCCAACGTGGAACCAATTTTTGTATGCCGGTTTTGCAGAACTCCCTGGATTTGGAGTCAAAAAATTGGCGGACTGCATTTATTTATTACACCATCTCGAGTTGTGAACTGTCGGTGCCTCATACAGTTGTCAAGAGACAAAGAATAGGTGATAATCACTGGGCGAAATGTAGGAGGAATATGGCGGGTGCGGTAACGTTTCCCAGCCGAGTTCAGAAATTTTTTCTCTGGTCACTTTTGCGGTATGAGG